GTCGTTCAATTCCCATGAGCTCCTCCTTCTTTCTGCCAGCCTGGTGTGGACGAGCAGGAAGATCGCCCTCAGCAGCCGGATGTGGGAGATACAGAGTCACAGGATGGAAGGGACCTGGGCCCACGATTGTTAGTGAGACCTATTCTCAGCTTTCAGTTCAGTTCAGTTCAGTCGCTCAGTCATGTCCGACTCTGCGACTCCATGAATCGTAGCACGCCAGGCCTCCCTGTCCATCACAAACTCCCGGAGTTTACTCAAACCCATGTCCATCCAGTCGGTGATGTCATCCAGCCATCTCATCCTCTGTTGTCCCCTTCTCCTCCTGCTCCCAATCCCTCCCAGCATCAGGGTCTTTTCCAATGAGTCAACTCTTCGCATGAGGTGGCCAAAGTATTGGAGTTTCAACTTCAGCATCACTCCTTCCAATGAACACCCAGGACTTATCTCCTTCAGGATGGACTGATTGGATCTCCTTTCTGTCCAAAGGACTCTCAAGAGTCTTCTCCAACACCATAGTTCAAAAGCATCAATTTTTCGGCACTCAGCTTTCTTCACAGTCCAACTCTCACATCCATACATGACTACTGGAAAAACTATAGCCTTGACCAGACGGACCTTTGTTGGTAAAGTAATGTCTCTGCTTTTTAATATGCTATCTAGGTTGGTCATAACTTTCCTTCCAAGGAGTAAGCATCTTTTAATTTCATGGCTGCAGTCACCATCTGCAGTGATTTTGGAACCCCCAAAAATGGGGGAAATAGACTTTTATCATGTTGGACCATTTTACATTAGAGCTTGGTTTTGGGGGCCGCTGACACTGTCTTCAGTAATACTCAGGGCTCTCTTTCTTCATCTAAATGGGAGAAGGGAAAAAGGGAATTGACTTACTGGCACCTCAGTTTCCTTGACTGGCCAACGGGGCTGTAGGGAGAGAGTCTACCACAAGGGGTTGTTTGAAGATGCTTTTCCTAATCATACTCAAGAAAAGCATTTTCTTCTTTATTTCTTCACTGGAGGCCTTCAGAGCTGTGCTTTGCTGGGGGAATCGGGGCACCGTCGCCATGGTTCGCTGTTACCTAGAAAGCCAAGATGCCTTCGATGTTTCACTGGCCTGACTTTTTTCTTCAAAGAGCCCCTAATAACTACTGTGTTGGTTTCTACCCATTTGATGAGATGAGCATCCGTTACCTTCCAAAGGGGAAAGTTGGCTTAAATCATCCTAAAGAGAGGGAAGAAGGTTTGATTTCATTTGGGACTAGTTTTGGGGAGCTGGTCTTGGGGGCTGCCCCTGGTGGTTCTATGTGGGAACTCAGCAAAAGCAGTGGGAGGTCTGGGCCCTGCTAGTGAGGAGAGCTGAGAGGAAAATGTCCCCAGGAGGATAATCCCGTGTCTTCTGCATGGGGCCCCTTGTGAGAAAGGCTTGGTGATGAAGCCTTGGGTCTTCACCAGCTCTGTTCTCTGCGACCTGCCCCCTGGTCCCCACACCTTACTGCAGGACTTTGTGAACCTATTTGTGGAACTTCAATTCAAACAGTCTGTTAACTTTCCCTAGTTAAATTCAATAGCCATTGCTGGCTTTGCTGGCTCAAAACATTTTAGAGCCAGGACAGATACTTAACTTTATGAGGTCTAATCTTTCATAGGGGTTTCCCTGGTGGCTCAGTGGTAAAGAATCTGGCTGCAATGCAGGAGACCCGAGTTCGATCACTGGATCAGGAAGATCTCCTGGAGAAGGGAATGGCAACCTGTTCTAGTATTCTTGCCTGGAGAATTCCATGGACAGAGGGGCCTGGTGAGCTACAGTCCATGGGGTCGCAAGGAGTCGGACACGACTTAGTGACCGAACAACCACAGCAACAGCAGTTTCCAAAGACCACGAGTAGCCAATTGCTCAGACACTTCTGATGGGCACCTCTTCTGTTTGGATAGGTCCTGATCCCCTTAGCACACATTCGAGGTAACATACTGGCCCCCTGACCCTCAGGGCACTTCCAGCCTTGCCTCTGGCTTCCGTCCTGCATGGACCCTCAGTGCTAACCATGTATAAATTGTCCCAGTGCCTGCAGCACCTTTCCAGTGCCAGGCCTTTGCACCTATGTCTCCCGTGTCTGTCATCCCCATCTTCCCTTCCACCTGGTGAAATTCTCAGCCTTTATCAAAGTCTAGGTGAAGTGTCACCTCCTCCTGGAAGCCTTTCCTGATCTCACCAGGAAGAGCTAACTGCTCTTTCATACTCCAAATACTTCTATCAGAAAATATGGAGGCTTAACGTCTGTCAATGGTTTGCCACTCCTCATAGAGGGGTCTCATAGACCTCTTTTAAGCTGAGGTCTCTCTGTTTTTGATTTTCATGTGTCTGTTGGAGGACACGTATAGAAAGGCCTGGCACATAGAAGCTTTGAGTAAACCGATTCACTGGGCGACTGAGCTGAATAAGGAATGAGAGGAGGATAATGGGAAAGTAGAAACTTGTATCAGATGGGATCCTTTCATTTTATAGTAATAGAAAACATAACACAGACTTCCTAAAACATAGCGCGGGCTTCCTAAAATAGGAGGAATTTAACTGGCTCACAGAACTGAAAAGTACCAGATATGGGCTACAGGAAGGGTTTGATCATAGTGAAAGTTTATTTATTTTTGGAGAGTTCTCTATGGTGACTGTCTTCATATGTTAACTTTGCCCTCAGGCTGGCTTCATTCATAGTGACAATGTGGCTACATCAGATTTCACTTTCATATCTTGAAACCAACCATTCAAAAAGACAGAGAATAACCATATCCCTTAATTCTCAGCAAAATTTTTAAAATTTGTGCTGATTTAAATACAGTTGCGGTGGCAAGGTGAATGTGATTCTTGTGTGACTTAGACCAATCATGCCCCTCCACAGTTTCTCAGGAACGTTAGCCCCATCCAGACCACAAGGCTGTACTTAATGGGATTTCTTAAAGCGTAAATTTCAGTTTTCCTTCTATCCTACCTTCAACCCACACACAAAAAAATAATAGACAGCTATTATAATATAGATTCTGTGCCATGTGTTGAAGAGACCTATACGACTAGGACAAGATTATGACCTCAAGCTGCTGACAATCCTATGTAAAGAGGTTTTGAAAACCATCTTAAAGGCAATGAGGGGCCAGAAGGGAATTTTAAGTGGGTGAATAACTATATTAACTAGTTATTGCTGTGTAATTGCAGCCATGAAATTAAAAGACACTTACTCCTTGGAAGGAAAGTTATGACCAACTTAGACAGCATATTAATAAGCAGAGATGTTACTTTGTCAACAAAGGTCCGTCTAGTCAAAGCTATGGTTTTTTCAGTAGTCAGGTATTGATGTGAGAGTTGGACTATAAAGGAACCTGAGTGCTGAAGAATTTATGCTTTTGAATTGTGGTGTTGGAGAAGACTCTTGAGAGTCCCTTGGTCTGCAAGGAGATCCAACCAGTCCATCCTAAAGGAGGTCAGTCCTGGGTGTTCATTGGAAGGACTGATGTTGAAGCTGAAACCCCAGTACTTTGGCCACCTGATGCGAAGAGCTGACTCATTTGAAAAGACCCTGATGCAGGGAAAGATTGAGGGCAGGAGGAGAAGGGGACGACAGAGGATGAGATGGCTGGATGGCATCACTGACTCAATAGAAATGGGTTTGGGTAGACTCCAGGAGTTGGTGATGGACAGGGAGGCCTGGCATGCTGTGGCTCATGGGGTTGCAAAGAGTCAGACGCAACTGAGTGACTGAACTGAACTGAACTGATTGCTGTGTAGTGAGGGACCTCAAAACTTAGTGGCTCTTTACTATCTTTTAGCTTTCTTGGGCAGGGGTCTGGGCCCAGCCAAGCTGGAGGCCTCTAGCTCAAGATCTCTCACATGGCTGCTATCAAGGCATCGGCCAGGGCCGCAGGCATCTCACAGCTGAGGTGAGCAGGATCTGCTTGCAGCTGCGGCCCCTGACTTTTGGCAGGCCTTGGTAGATTTGCATCAAGGCTCACGCATGTGCATCCCTCTGCTGAGCGGCCTTACAACATGGCGGCTGGCTACCCCTGGGTCTAGTAACCCAAGAGACAGTGAGAAAGAGCTCTCCAAATAGAAAATTTGAAACATCTTTTCTGGCATGTTCTATCTGACAGCAGTGAAGCAATGAGTCCAGCCCACATTCAAGGGAATGAATTATTCAAAAGTGTGACCATAAAGAGGAGGGGATCACCAGGACCCTCTAAATATCTGCCTATCGCGAGGACTTCCCAACAGTAAAACACCTCAGAGTGATGGCCTTACATCAGCCTGTGACCTCAAAAGGGCAATAACTAACAAACGAGGATTTAAGAGTGGGCAGGACAAAATTGTTTTGGATTGTATGGATTCAAGTATTAACTCAACAAACTCTTACCAAGTGTTCATGAGGACCATGGTAACTCAGTTGGTAAAGAATCTGCCTGTAGTACAGTAGATCCAGCTTTGATCCCTGGGTCAGAAAGATCCCCTGGAGAAGGAGATGGCAACCCACTCCAGTATTCTTGCCTGGGAAATCCTAAGGACAGAGGAGTCTGGTGGGCTGCAGTCCTTGGGGTCGCAAAAGTCGGACCCGACTTAGTGACTAAACCACCATCCGCCACCACGTGGACCGGGGCTGTGCTGGGTGCTGGGCGGCTGCGGTGACAGAGGTAGACTCAGTCTCCACTCGTGACTATTCGTGTCCAGCAGGAAGCAAAGTTGAACTGGACACTGACCTTGAATGTCACATAAAAGGGTGAGTCAAGACAGTGAATGACGTTGCCCACCACTCAACCCAGCCAAACCAGTCAAAGAGGTCTTCCTGGGGGAGGGGCATTTCAGCTGAGCCCTGAGGAATGAGGAGGGGAGTCAGGGGAAGGGGAGGGCAGAAAAGCATTACAGAGAAGGCCTTGGGGTTGGGCCCCTCCCCACCCCTTCCCGCCCTTCTCCCCATATCTGTTTCAGCTCAAAGGTCCCCATCTCACAAAGGCCTTCCTTGTCCCTACAGCCCAAGGTTGTCATTCTCCGTCCCCTGGCCCAGAGCCAGACTCTCAGACTCTCTAATGTCACCCTGTTCACTTTCTTGCAGCACCTCTCCCACCTGGGATAGTCTTGTGGATGGTGGTTTTCCTGCTCCTTGCTGCCTCTCCCACTCCAGACATCGGCTCCTAGGGGCAGGGACCTCGCCTGTTTGCTGCTGCACCTCCACCCCTGTGTGGGCAGGTGCACAGTAGGGCCTCAACAAGCCGATTGGCAGGAGTGGGCCTGACATTGGGCCTTTATCCACATCCCAGGTTCTCTCCTAGAGGACTGACCGTGTCCAGAAGTGTCCTCAGCTCCTCCCCTCTGGTCCTCCTGGGCCACACGAAGGGCTCAGGCCTCAGGGGCTGACTTCACTAGCCTCGCCCCATCATGTTTCATGGCTTCGCTCTGGGCTGCTAATTACGGCCATACTTTGAGGGTTTGGCGTTAAGGTCAGTCAAGTGGATAAGTCACATCTTTTCTAATGGGCCAAATGTGGGTTTACACAATAGCCTGTGGCAAATGCACTTTCAGGGGACTATCTGGCAGGAAGCATCCCTTTTTCCAAAGAGTGCCTAGGCCCTGGGAGAAATAATGAGGCTTTTTAGGATTTTAATTATTCCCGGTGCTGACAGACTGCAGAGCTGGAGCTGCTGTCTACCCAGCGCTCACCCGGGAATCTAGCATGTCTCTTCCTGGGTCTCCAGGTGAGTGCCTGGTTCCCAAGGGCATCTGGGTTTCCAGGACTCATTCCTGTGGTCCCTGCTCCCTTCTTCGGACATGCACCTCCCCAAGGACCAAGGTCCCTGAGCCAGCTGCGGGTCTTTACCTTTCAGCCACCCCAGGTCGCCCAGCACAGGCCTGGTGCGGTTGGTAGGAGAGAGCAGGAGCTGAGAGGGACAGGCCCGGATGCCCCGGGCCTGCCGCCACACCAGTGGGGGCAACAACACTCTCGGAAGGGCGGAAAGGGTGACGATCGTGGGTTCCATTACTGCTGCCCTGGTCCTCAGAGAGCTGCAGGCTGGGGGGAAACACAAAGCTGCGACTTCCTGATATCCCCGCCACAGGCAACTGTGAGTGGTCCCTGTCTCCCGCACGTGTGCCCACCCCTCCCTTCCTTCCCGAACCTGGGGCGAGAGCCAAGTGCAGCCTCCCTCCACGGCTGGTCTCTTGTAATCCCGTCCTTGCCTCAGCCTCTACTTGCCCTTTTCTGGGGCTTTAGGACCTGGCACTGTTGTCCTGCCTGACTTGGGTCCTGTGTCCACTACCTCCACCTTGGGCCAGATCTCCTGGACCCTTTAGTCACCCCCAGAGAGTTCCCCAATCATTCCAGCCCCACTGTCCATCCTGCCCCACTGCAGGTGGGGAGATTATAGCAAAATGCTGACTCAAAAATTAAATCCTGCCCGTGTTTAAAACTTGGTGGAGAGAACCAGTAAACACTGGCTTCTTATCATGAAGCTCGTTCTCTGATTTTCCATCCTAGAGCTCAAGCCACATCAGCCCACTCAACCTCCCAGTCTTGACCGGGGTGACCCTGATGTGAGATTTTGTGTCTGCCTTTAGGATGGCCAGCCATCCCATGTGCCCAGATGGTTTTGATTTTAGCAGAGCCCCACATCCCAGGAAACCCTCCTAGTTTTGTTATTCAGTCACTAAGTTGTGTCTAACTATTTGAGACCCCGTGACCTACAGCACACCAGACTTCCCTGTTCTTTACTATCTCCCAGAGTTTGCTCAAACTCATGTTCACTGAGTTGATGATGCCTCCCAATCATCTCATCCACTGCTGCCCTCTTCTCCTATCACCTTCAGTCTTTCCCAGGGTTCTTTTCCAATAAGTCAGCTCTTTGCATCAGGTAGCCAGAGTATTGGAGCTTCAGCTTCAGCATCAGTCCTTCCAATGAATCTTCAGGACTGATTTCCTTTAGGATTGACTGGTCTGATCTCCTTGCTGTCCACGGGATTCTCAAGAGTCTTCTGCAGCACCACAATTTGAAAGCATCAATTCTTCATCGCTCAGCCTTCTTTATGGTCCAACTCTCATATCTCTACATGACTACTGGAAAAACCATAGCTTTGACTATAAAGTGATGTCGCTGCTTCTTAATATGCTGTCTAGGTTTGTCATAGTTTCTCTTTCAAGGAGCAAGTATCTTTTAATTCATGGCTGCAGTCACCATCTGCAGTGATTTTGGAGCCCAAGAAAATAAAATCTGTCATTATTTCCACTTTTTCCTCTTCTATTTGCCATGAAGAGATGAGATCAGATGCCATGATCTTAGTTTTTTGAGTGTTGAGTTTTAAGCCAGCTTTTTCACTCTCCTCTTTCATCCTCACCGAGAGGCTCTTCAGTTCCTCTTTGTTTTCTGCCATTAGAATGGTGTCATCTGCATATCTGAGCTTGTTGCTATTTCTCCTGGCAGTCTTGATTCCAGTCTGTGAGTCATCCAGCCTGGCATTTCGCATGATGTTCTCTGCATACACACTAAATAAGCAGGTGATAACATGCAGCCTTGACATTAGTCCTTTCCCAATTTGGAATCAGTCCATTGTTCCATGTTCGGTTCTAACTATTGCTTCTTGAACTGCATATAGGTTTCTCTGGAGGCAGGTAAGGTGGTCTGGTATTCCCATCTCTTTAAGAATTTTCCACAGTTTGTTGTGATCCAAACAGTCAAAGACTTTAGAGCAGTCAGTGAAGCAGAAGTAGATTTTTTTGAAATTCCCTTGCTTTTTCTATGATCCAATGGATGTTAGCAATTTGATCTCTGGTTCCTTTGCCTTTTCTAAATCCAGCTTGTACATCTGGAAATCTGGAAGTTCTTAGTTCATATAGTGTTGAAGCTTATCTTGAAGGATTTTGAGCATTACTTTGCTAGCATGTGAAATGAGTGCAATTATACAGTAGTTTGAACATTCTTTGGCATTGCCATTTTGGGGGATTGGAATGACAACTGACCATTTCCAGTCCTGTGGCCACTGCTGAGTTTTCCAAATTTGCTGGCATGTTGAGTGCAGCACTTTCACAGCATCATTGTTTAGGATTTGAAATAGCTCAGCTGGAATTCCGTCAACTCCACTAGCTTTGTTCATAGTAATGCTTCCTAAGGCCCACTTAGCCTCACACTACAGGATGTTTGGCTCTAGGTGAGTGACCCCTCTATAGTACCAGGTAAACTGGGACGGTTGGTCATCTTACCTGCTAGGCAATCCCATGGTCTAAAAACCTTCCTGGTCCTGACCCCTCAGCATCCCAGGGCCATCCCTCTGTCCTCTGATGGCAGCCTCCTCCCTCTCATAACAGCCGAGACTCCTCTGGTTTGCAAATAAACATGGACAACACTCCCAGGGTACCAGGGGGAGCATAATTCCATGTGAATACAAGGCAGAAGCCACACTGTTTCATTGTTTCTCTGAACACTGGAGGCCTTTGTACAATGGCTGCATTTAAATCCAGTGTCAGAGAAATTTGAAACTAAGACATTGTTTCTGTGACAGGCTGTTTGGCTTTACAGGAAGTTCCTAAAGGACAGAGTCCACTTCACTGCAGGGGCCTCCTGCTCTGCTCTGAGTCAGGGGCATGGAGACCCTTCCTCTTTGCCTCTTTCCACTCCCCACACAAAGCACAGGCTCCCAGGGATGTGGGCCTGAGCTTGGCCTCCCCTGGAGGATGTGGAGGGAGTCAGTGTCCCTAGGAGCCCAGGAGAGGGATGCAGGAATCAGGAGGTGTGATAACCTCTTTTTATCAAGTCTTGGTAACTGATACCCCATTCTCTTGTATATTTGTACCTAACAGGGTCAGAGCTAGATCTGTTGTGACAATGAGAAGGATGTCAGCCCTTGAAGGTTCAGGGGAGCCTTGGGCACAAAGTAGGCTGCAAGACCCCCCTCTGGGCTGGACTGAAAGGCTCAGAGAGGGCACAGGCCACTTCCCTAGACGAGAGGTCCAGCAGGAGTGTGTGACTGAGTCCTGAGTCCAGAAGACGAGTGTTTTCCTGGAATCGTGTTGATGTCCTAGAGGCTCACAGCCCATGGTAGTGATCAAAACAGCAACTGCAGTCACACTAACAGTGATGACCAATGACTGCTTTCTTTAAATTCCGGAAAGGAGACACAGCACAGAGCAGAGCCACACCCAACGGTCTTACAATCCACCCCCACGGCTAGCCCAGCCTGGATAATGGCAGCCTTGACCCGGCACCCTAGGGGAGGGGACAACACCCCTTTGTGCAGAATTGTGAGCTCGGATGTCTGGCTGCCCCGAGCCCCAGGGCAGAGGAGCGACATATCTGCTGGCATGGGAACCACTCAGGGCAGAAGGATTGGTAAGTGCTGGGTGGGGTGGGAGGTGTGCAGGCTGAGCGGCAGCCTGGCTGGATGTGGGTCTTGGCCTGACCATTATTTGCCAAGTGTGTGATCTGGGGGAATACTCCATCTCTTGTCCTTCAGCTTCCTCATCTGTGAAATGGGACCAAAGATGATCCCCACTGTCAGCAGTGCCAGTGATAAAGAACCCACTTACCAATGCAAGAGACTTAAGAGATGCGGGTTCAATCCCTGGGTCTAGAAGATCCCCTGGAGGAGAGCATGGCAACCCAGTCCAGTGTTCTTGCCTGGAGAATCCCATGGATAGAGGAGCTGGTGGCCTACAGTCCACAGGGTCGCAAAGCGTCGGACACGACTGAAGCGACGGAGCATGAACACACTCACACCGTCAAGGGATGCTATGGGGATAAAGTGATTTGACACAGTCATACTTTCAGAGAAGAGGCTGGGAAGGAAAGTGATGTGACAAACTCATTCATGCTGGGAGAGGGTATGTGAAGAGCCACAGAGTACTGTGGCATTTTTTTTTTTTTTTTTTTGCTATTTGGCACCATCATCCCTCTGGCCATAATTAATTGCATAACTCCCACATGTGAAATATTCTCCCCTCAGGCACCTCCAAATCTCATCTAATTATAGCATAAGTCAGGGTGCCCTGGAGCTCATAATCAAATCAGGTCTGTATGTGGCTGAGGCTCTCTGAGGATGGCTCTCTTGATCAAAGACCCAGAAGCTAAAATGCCAGTTTATTTCACCTCCCCTCACCATGCACTGATGAGATTAGTAGAACTGTGAGGCAGAGATGGGGTGAATGTAATGAACTCTCCCATCAAAAGAGGTGAAGAACAGAGTGGCAGGCTCTGGTCCATGCAACCCTAACATCCTGGCAAGTAAATATTGTCCCACCAGGGAAATTCTTTTTCATGAAATTTTCAGGAGAATTCTTAAAGAGATGAGAATACCAGATCACCTCATCAGTCTCCTGAGAAATCTATATTCAGGTCAAGATGCCACAGTTAGAACCAGACATGGAACAACAGGCTGGTTCCCAATCAGGAAAGGAGTACATCAAGGCTGTATATTGTCACTCTGCTTATTTAACTGATATGCAGAATACATCATGCAAAATGCTGGACTGGATGAAGCACAAGCTGGCATCAAGATTGCTGGGAGAAATATCAATAACCTCAGATACGCAGATGACACCACCCTTATGGCAGAAAGTGAAGAGGAACTAAAGAGCCTCTTGATGAAATTGAAAGAGGAGAGTGAAAAAGTTGGCTTAAAAACTCAACATTCAAAAAACTAAGATCAAGGCATCCAGATCCCTCACTTCATGGCAAATAGTTGGGGAAATATTGGAAACAGTGAGAGACTTTATTTTCTTGGGCTCCAAAATCACTGCAGATGGTGACTGCAGCCATGAAATTAAAAGATGCTTGCTTCTTCAAAGAAAAACTATGACAAACCTACACAGCATAGTGAAAAAGCAGAGGCATTACTTTGCCGACAAAGGTCCATCTAGTCAAGGCTATGGTTTTTCCAATAGTCATGTATGGATGTGAGAATTGGACTATAAAGAAAGCTGAGCACCGAAGAATTGATGCTTTTGAACTGTGGTGTTGGAGAAGCCTCTTGAGAGTCCCTTGGACTGCAAGGATATCTAACCATTCCATCCTAAAGGAAATCAGT